AAAAAATGTAAATAAAAATAGTAAAATTTAAAAATAAATAAAGATATTTTAAAAAAGAAAAACAATTGGGCGTAGCTAGCAGTGAGAGCTAGCTCCGCCCAACTGTTTCCTATTGGCCGCCCAGTTGTTATTGTTTAATGACAGTTCAGCGTCCCCAAGTGATTTGGGGACGCTGACCTGCCATTACAACTGAGCGGAGCAAGCCGTAAAATCACAGCTGGCTCCGCCCAGCTGTAATTTGTGGGGTGAACCGTAAGCCCCGCTTCAGCTGTCACTTGGGCTCTGCTTCCAGAGATGGTCAGAGAGTGTAGACATGCTGCATGAGATGGTCAGAGACTGCAATAAAGCTATAGGAGGTACTGGAGATTGCAGACATGCTTCAGGAGACCGTCATAGAATGGGGATACAGGGCATACACAAGACGGATACAGGGATACAGGGGATACATGATACTGGTAAAGATCACAGCTATTATAGGACAATAGGCAAACACAGACAACTGTCTGCAGGAGTCCTGAGGGGTGCACAAAACGTGCCAAAGGCCCAATTATGGTTCCGTAGGTTGGGCATCAAGGTTTAAAACAAAAAAGTTAACTGTTTCAGGCCCCCTTTACACCTCTCCAGTGTGTTATAGTTTGTGCTGCCACACACAGCATTTTTGAGTTTTAAAAGGGCTGCAATAGCACTACATACCTAAGCAAATCAGTTCAAGAGCAGACAGCACAAGACGCTTGATATTTTGCTTGCGATCCAGGAAGCCCTCCTGAATCTTTCTGTAGCTGATTTCTCAAAAAAAAAAGGTTAGATATCTTTGACTTTAGGGCTAAGCTAGCCCACCCATGTTTCCCCTGTCAAATGAAAACACTTTTATTGCCCAATGATATAGTCTTATTGGATAAGGGGATGATAGGTGAAAATGTCTTCACTTCAAAGCCTGGGAATTTGATGCTTATAAAGGGAAAGAGCAGATAGTGAACATGTTCTGAATTATCGTCACTCACCTCTCATAGGCGATTTCATTGCTGCTTCCACCATGCCAAGCAGCAGCTGTAAACTTTTGGGATCCTGAGCCAATCCGGATGCAAACGCAGCCAGGGCATCTGCATGGCGACCAAGATACTGAAGGGCAACACCCTGTCTGAAGTATGCCTAAAGACAAGAGAAACATCAACAACATATTAGCAATCAGCACTAATATTAAAACCCACTTACATCAATTACAATTCTGTGCTATACATGTGGCACATTTATGCACGTTATTAAATCTTTGGAGCAAACTTAGAAATCAACTGGCATTCTTTTTCTGTAAATTTAACTTGCTTTTACTGGTTTTCACTGCAGTTTCTCTTATCGGTCTATAAACACAGAAATGATGCCTTAGGAAAACAGAAGCAGTGAAAAGGTGTTAAAAATTCATCAGCATTTGTGAAAAATAGCAAATAGATACCACCATGAGCTTCCCTCAGTGGAAAACTCTGAATTATGCTTGGTCATGGTAGCAAAACAAGGCAGATGGTGGAGATGAAAACAGAGGAAAGTTATTTTTTAAAGGCAGAAATATGGACAGCGGCGTATTTACACTTTGTGCTGCCCCAGGCAAGACAGCCCCCTGCCGCTCCCCACCGTCCTAGGCAAACGCCTAGTTTGCCTCGTGGTAAATATGCCCCTGAATATGGATAATATTTTTGTAATAATAAGATGGTGAAAAGCAGCACAATGCTGTTAAGAGTAAGTAGCTTTGGGGTTTTATAAAAAGGGTGAAATTGAGAAAAATCAGTTAAATGCCAACTTAGATTTCAGCTTACATCAGCTAAATGAATTCCAAGTGCATCAAAACAAAAGGTGTGCACAATCTCACAGTCCATTTCGATCAGAAGATCCCCCGCTGATATAAGAACATAACGCAATGGATGTCACTTTTGTGACTTCCATTTCCATTCAGATTTTTCCTAACCTGAGCCCATGTTATGTCTATGGGCAGTCAGATGTAAGCAGATGTATCCGTTAACATCTGATTAGCTACGATCAATCACAATCAGGTCCACCAAAACAGAACTCTCTTTTTCTTTCCGGACCTAGACGGAGTTGGGGGTAGTCAGATGTAAACGGCCACACATCTGAATAGACGGCCTTACAGTTCATTCTCTTTATAAAGTAGCCACAGCCTGGTCAGAAAAGCCTGTTTCCAGCAGCATGCTGCCGAGAAGGATTCCTGTTTCCTGTGTGGTCTCTCTGCAGAGGTCTGACATGCCCACTGTTGAGTCAGACCTATAGGTCTACAATCAGCGGGCAGCATGAATTTTCTTAATGCAGGGTTAAACAATGACACCAGAAATGCCTGCTTTTCTGGGCTCCAATAACCATTACAGAGAGCGTATGAACAGTGACACAGGTTGTAACCTTTATCAGCATGGCTGATAATCCCAAGGTTTTAGGGAAGACTGATTTCTCCTATACTCCTGCAAATCACATTAATGCAATCACTCGTGCTATTGTTGTGTATTGCAAAGCGTTTAATCATAATGTCATTGTCTATGACAAGGTCAGTTCTTCAGACATACTGTATGCCATTCACATTTTTGCACAGAAAAGATCCCCAACCCTATGTGATTTTCGATATGTTTAGTTTATGCCTACTGCAGTTAGTGTATTTCATCTTATCAAGAATCTCAATGACGTCTACATAGATCTGCTATCAAAGTACAATGGCAAATTTATTTGACACTATCGCCCTTTCATAAAATTGCACCGAGTGACATCATAAAAGTCTCCCTGTCTTTAATTACTCTGTCCTTTAAGATTTATTTCTTATCTTCTATACTGCGGCAGTTAGTGCATTGTGCTCATTTTTTGTCATGCTTAAATGATGTATTCATTTCAGTGTCTGTCTGCCAGCAAGCACTTTCTGATCTCATATTTATTCACCATATAGCATAATGAAAAAAGTAGAACAAATCGATAAAATGAACAAAAAGTACAACTGCTTTGATCCCCTTGGATAATGGTTTATTTGTTCGTATCAGTCTTCACTCGACAATCAATGTTAATCAAGCTGCTACAGATTTTGCAGCTTTTATTTCAAATAAAATGTAATTTTACCCAGGAATACACTGATGGATAGAGAAAAAAGAAAACAATGGCAAGCAAGGTAAATGTGGTTATCATCCCCAGCCCTAAGGGACCCCTGAAGCACCAGTCTGCCAATCAGTGTCACTATGTCTACACCACTACAAGTCAGACAGGTAATCCCTGACTAATAAGCTGGATAACTGGTGAACCAGTGCTCATTGTTTATGAATATCAACAGCAAACAAGCCGATGGACCTATTGTATGGAATCCTAACAAATATTTCATGTGTATGGATGGTGTCTCAGCTACTATGCAGACATGGAGGTTTGGTTATACATGGTGTATGTATTGTTCTTGGCATTGCGAGTTAATCTACACTTCGTCTGTTATTCACAAATATACAGTATATTTTTTACAAACTAACCTGTGTTGAAATACCCAGGATGGGTAGATAATACGATGCAAAACAGCTGAGTTGGAACTAGTGCCTAAAGGAGGACTCAATGCTAATAAAATAGGATACTAGTCTAAATAGAGAATTCTTAAATTAGCTAAACAATGAGGTAAAATTAAAGCCTTGAGTCATAAAAATATTCCTTGCTTTATTTTAATAATAAAATGCTTGGTTTACCCTTTTTTTCATGTGTTGGTGCCTTTCAGTGCTGTTGATCTACTGCAGCAACATTACAGCCACTTCCTGCCTACATGCTCTCCAGCAATGGCTGCATGGCATTTGTCAGTGTTAGTGACAATAGCAGACTATGCCTGTCTAATGTGTGTTGAAATAGAAATTAATAGATTATATTCTCCATTGAAAGACTGTGCAAATGGGTGAATGCACATAAACACAATTGGGTGACAGGGACATAGGTCTGTCACCCTTATAATAGACAGTGCCTAAACAAGGACCCTAATGGCAGGATCACCAGGTATTAATTGAAAGAAAGCTGCAGATTTAAAAATATTGAAACTGATTTTTTAAATTACATTGCCATGCTAAAGCTTCTATTAGATTTCAATCATTGATTTTACATATACTTTAGCACACCTAATATGCAGTCCTGTGCCATACACCCTGAAGAATTTAGTGCCTCTGTCCATATTTGACACTATGCTCATTTATGGCACTGTTTTCATAGAGAGCAGCAGAAGAATATAAATTGTACAATGAGCATTAAACCTTTTTTTGCACATATCAGCTTAGGTATGACATGCTGGTGAGCATGACTAACAATGCACATTTAAATTCCTACATTTGTGACTGGTAGTTGCAGGCAAGGATGTAAAAGTAACATGAAAGGGAATACATTTATGTTCACATGGTTGTACATTTTCATAAGTCTAGCAGGCAGAGGCGGCTCTAGAGTTTGCGAGGCCTTAGGCGAAACCTAAACATGAGGCCCCATTCAGGCCTGTGGTGTCTCATCAGGGCTCTGTGGGGTCTCACCAGGGCTCTGTGGGGTTTAACCAGTCTGGTGAGACCCCACAGAGCCCTGGGGAGACCCCTAAAGAGCCCTGGTTAAACTATGGTTCTATGGGGTCTTACCAGTCCTGGTTAGACCCCACAGAGCCCTAGTTACCAGGGCTCTGTAGTGTCTCACCAGCACCAGGGCTCTGTAGGGTCTCACCAGGGCTATGTGGGGTCTCACCAGCCTGGTTAGACCCCTCAGACCCCAAGTGAGACCTCAAGAAGCACTCGTAAAACCAGCACTCAGCAGGGTCTCACCAGGGCTCTGTAGGTTTTCGCCAGCACCAGGGCTCTGTAAAGCTCTTTGGGGTCTCACCTGGGCATCGGGGCTCTTTGGAGCCTCACAAAGGCTCTGTTGGGTCTAACCAGCCTTGTTAGACCCACAGAGCCATGGGGAGACCCCACAGAGCTCTGGTGAGACACCAAAGAGACCTGGTGAGACACCAAAGAGCCCTGGTTAAACTTGTAGGGTCTCACCAGCACCAGGGCTATGTGGGGTCTGACCAGCCTGGTAAGACACCACAGAGCCCTGGTCAAACCAAGGCTCTGTAGGGTCTCACCAGGGCTCCATGGGGTCTCACCAGCA